CAAACAAACAAACACTTTTTGTCACAATCAAACTTTTGAAAAGTGTGTCAACATTTGCTAAAGTTTAGTTTAAAAAAACAAACAGAAGATTTCTGATATTAAGACATCTTGTTTTTTTTTTTAATTTTGAAATGATACTTACAAAAATATCATATAACATTTTAAGAGTTCAGCACTGAAATTAAGTTTTTTGGTTTTATGGGTATTATAAGTTTTGACTGACCCACCCTTTAGCAGAATGTTATTTACATGGGAATTGTTTGTTTTGTTCTGATTTGGAATAGAAATTCTGAACTTGCAGAATCTCTCCTGTCCCTAAGCAGCTCTGGCTAAATTGCAACTGCAGCCTGTTCATCTGCTGGCGTAGATCTTATTCATTCATCACATATCTCTCCTGCATACGTGGAAGATGTATATGTTTTCCTATACCCTTATATAATAGGGAACCCTAACCCTGTTACAGGGAAAAGAGGACCAGGGAGGAAGAATTAGCAAGGCCCCTTTAAAACCAGAACTTTTGTAGCCCGAAGGGGGAAAGATTACTTGCGTCAAGGAGATGGCTTGTCCAGTTGTAGAGGCCCCAGCTGCCAGGAGGGATCCCGACTTGAGAAGGAGGGGCAAGCTGCCTGCATCAGAGACCAACTGAAGAGGAACAACTGGACCTGGGCTATGGACTCTCACTCTACAGAACCTAGCCCAGGGGTGGGTAAAATACAGTATGTGGGCCATTTTATCTGGTCTGCAGGTGGATATCTATCTACTAGTTCTTTGTACCTGGCCTGGTTGCCCCTGCTGTGCTTACATTGGGAAGTGGTGGCAGCAGCAGTGGCAGGCAGGTGGGCAGGCGGAGGGTGGGAAGCAAATGCTGGGAGGGGGCAAAGCAGCAGCTGGGTGGGAGTGTAGGGCCTGCTCCAGTGTGCTGGGGCTAGGGCCAGCAGGGGCCCAGGGTGGGGCAGCAGGAGCATGGAGCACAGGCCGGTGGGGGTGTGGAGTCTGCCTGGCTCCATCATGCTGAGCTCCCCAGGGCTCACATGCATTTACCAGGTTCTCTGCCTGAACTGCGCACCTCCGGTGGGGAGTAATAGCTGGTGGCCCAACCCTGCTCACTGCTACGTGCAGGTCATGGGGAATGGCAGGGAGCTCCATGCTATGGAACTGAGGTCTGCCCTTCTCCCTGCCACTCCAGCTGAGCCCCATGACCTGCACCACTAGCTTCCTTGCACAGGGCTCCCTCCAGCAGCATGGCGTTCAGATAGAGAACCTGGGAACTATGTGAGCCCTGAACGACAGAGCCAGCAGCCTGGCCATGTGCAGTCCTGGGGCTTGCTGGGACCCTATGCTGCCAGGAGGCTCCACCTGCCATGAGCCATTACCACGGTGAGGCCCTGCTGCATGATGCTGCTGCTGGTAACAGGGGCTATGCATAATGGCGGGGCTTGTAGGGGGGCCCCACATGCATATCCCATCACACACATGCACCCCCCACACCCACCAGCTCCCACATACCCACCCACCCCCATACCCCCCACACCT